TGGTGGCACTGGTGACACTGGTGACATTTGGTGACACCGGTGCCCCCGCGGCCCAGCCATGAGCAGCGACCTGGACGTGTTCGTGGGGAACACCACGCTGATCGACGAGGAGGTGTACCGGCTGTGGCTGGACGGACACTCGGGTATGGCTGGGGACATGGGGACACACCTGTGACACACCTGGGACACACCTGGGACACACCTGGGGACACGGGGCAGGGCTGGGGACACGGGGACACCACGCTGATCAACGAGGAGGTGTACCGGCTGTGGCTGGACGGACACTCGGGTACGGGGACATGGGGACACGGGGACATGGGGACACAGCTGTGACACCTGGGGACACGGGACAGGGCTGGGGACAGCAGGGACACAGCAGGGACACACCTGAGCACAGCTGGGGGATGCTCAGTGTCCCCACAGTGTCCCCAATGTCCCCTGTGTGTCCTTGTCTGTCCCAGTGGCCGAGGCGGTGGCGCGGTGGCTGCGGGGGGTCGGTGGCTGTGTCTGTGTGTCCCCAATGTCCCCAATGTCCCCAATGTCCCCTCTGTGTCCCCAGTGGCCGAGGCGGTGGCCCAGCAGCTCCAGGGGCTTGGTGGCTCTGTCTGTCTGTCCCCAATGTCCCCAATGTCCCCAATGTCCCCTCTGTGTCCCCAGTGGCCGAGGCGGTGGCCCAGCAGCTCTGGGGCGGGGTCAGTGGCTGTCCCCATGTCCCCACAGTGTCCCTGTGTCCCCAATGTCCCCTGTCTGTCCCTGTCTGTCCCAGTGGCCGAGGCGGTGGCGCGGTGGCTCCGGGGGGTCAGTGGCTCTGTCTGTCTGTCCCCAGTGTCCCCTGTTTGTCCCCATTGTCCCCAGTGGCCGAGGCGGTGGCGCGGCGGCTGCGGGGCGGGCTCCTGGAGCGCGAGGCCACCTCGGTGGCCGTGCTGCAGAGCGACACCCGCGACCACTACAGAACGTTCCAGATGCTGGAGCGGCTCCTGCACGCGCCCCCCCGCCTGCTGCAGCAGCTGCTCTTCCAGATCCCCCCCGAGCGGCAGGCCCTGCTCGTCCAGAGGTACTGGGGAAACTGGGAGGGACTGGGATGGACTGGGAACACTGGGAATGCACTGGGACTGGGACTGGGAGGGACTGGGAGGGACTGGGAATGCACTGGGATTGGGACTGGGAGCACTGGGAACACTGGGACTGGGACTGGGACTGGGGAAACTGGGACTGGGGGCACTGGGACTGGGGGCACTGGGAGCACTGGGACTGGGGGCACTGGGACTGGGAGCACTGGGAGCACTGGGAGTGCTGCTCTTCCAGATCCCCCCCGAGCGGCAGGCCCTGCTCGTCCAGAGGTACTGGGAGCACTGGGAGGGACTGGGATGGACTGGGAGGGACTGGGAGGGACTGGGAATGCACTGGGAGCACTGGGAGTGCTGCTCTTCCAGATCCCCCCCGAGCGGCAGGCCCTGCTCGTCCAGAGGTACTGGGAGCACTGGGAGCACTGGGACTGGGACTGGGATGGACTGGGAGGGACTGGGAGCGCTGCTCATGCAGTGGTACTGGGGACACGGAGCACTGGAACTGGGACTGGAAATGGGGGAACTGGGAGGGACTGGGGGTTTTCCTTCCATTTTTGCATTTCCTCCCCCATTTTTCTGTTTTTCTCACATTTTTTTTTCATTTCCTCCCCATTTTTGTGTTTTTCTCCCCCGTTTTTTTCATTTTCTCCCCCATTTTTGTGTTTTTCTCCCCCGTTTTTTTCATTTTCTCCCCATTTCTGTGTTTTTCTCCCCCGTTTTTTTCATTTTCTCCCCATTTCTGTGTTTTTCTCCCCCGTTTTTTTCATTTCCTCCCCATTTCCGTGCTTTCCCCCGTTTTCTCCCAGGTACTACGCCTTCGACGAGGCGCTGGCCCGGGAGCTGCTGGGCAAGAAACTCTCCAAGGGCACCAAGAAGGAGCTGGACGAGGTCAGCGCCCGCACCGGGGTGGGGATCCGCAGCTGCCGCCGCCAGGTGGGACCCCAGAGCCACGGGCACCCCAAAACCGGGGGGACCCCAAAACCGGGGGGACCCCAAAACTGGGGGGACCCCAAAACCCAGGACCCCAAAACCCAGGACCCCAAAACCCAGGGGCACCCCAAAACCTGGGAGGGGACCCTAAAGCACCTGGGGAGTCCCTAAACAAACACCTGCGGGACATTGTGGAGACCCTAAAACATCTGGGGGGGACATTGGGGACCCTAAAACCCCAAGCCCACCCTGGGGGTCCCCAGAGCCACTCAGGGCTCACTCAGGGGCTGTCCCCAACGATGTCCCCAATGTCCCCAGAGTCACCTGTTCCAGCTGCTGCAGGGGCTGGCATTTACCACGACCGGGGGGGGGGGGAATCTGAAAACCGGGGAGGGACCCCAGAACTGGGAACCTCAAAACCGGAGGGGAACCCCAAAACCGTGGGGAACCCCACAAACTGGAGGAGAGGTCCCAAAAAATGGAAGAGGAAATTCCAAAAAAAAAAAAAACAAAACGGGGCAGAAAATCTGAAAAACAGGGGAGGGAATCAGAAAAATGGGGGCAAAGGGAAACAGGCAAAAACCCCAAAAACAGGAAAACCTCCAAAAATGGAGAAAAACCCCAAAAATGGGGAAAACCCCAAAAAATGGAGAAAATCCCAAGAATGGGGAAAACCTCCAGAATGGGGAAAACACCCCCAAAAACGGGGGAAAACCCCAAAAATGGATGGCCTTGGCCTGTGGGGTCGGGTCCTGCTGGGGAGCTCGGGGCGGGGATTTTGGGGTCTGGGGTCGGCCCTGGGGGGGTTTTGGGGTCTGGGGTCTGCCCTGGGGGGGTTTTGGGGCGCTGACCCCCCCTGCCCCCCCAGTTTGACAACTTCAAGAGGGTCTTCAAGGCGGTGGAGGAGCTGCGGGGGCCCCTGGCCGAGAACATCCAGCAGCTCTTCCTGCTGCCCCCCAGCCTGGCCCGGTGGGTCTGGGGGCTTGCGGGGCTCTGGGGGGGCTTTTGGGACCCAGAAAAAGCTCCCAAGGTTGGGGGGGTTTGGGAATATGGGGAGGAGAGTCGGGGGGGTTTTGGGGTTCGGGGAGGTTTTAGGGTTTGGGAGGGATTTGGGAGATGTTTAAGGGGTTGTGGGTTTGGGGTTTTTGGGGGGTTTCGGGGGATATTTAAAGGGTTGGGGGTTTGGGGGATGTTTTGGGGGCTCTTTATGGGTTTTTTTGGGGGTGTTTAAGGGGATTTGGGGGTTTTGCTTGCGGGGCTCTGGGGGGGCTTTTGGGACCCAGAAAAAGCTCCCAAGGTTGGGGGGGTTTGGGAATATGGGGAGGAGAGTCGGGGGGGTTTTGGGGTTCGGGGAGGTTTTAGGGTTTGGGAGGGATTTGGGAGATGTTTAAGGGGTTGTGGGTTTGGGGTTTTTGGGGGGTTTCGGGGGATATTTAAAGGGTTGGGGGTTTGGGGGATGTTTTGGGGGCTCTTTATGGGTTTTTTGGGGGATGTTTAAGGGGTTTGGGGAGTTTTAGGCGACTTTAGGGGTTTGGGGGATATTTAAGGGTTTGGGGAATTTTGGGGTTTGGGGGTATTTTGGAGAGGTTTGGGGGATGTTTTGGGGGCTCTTTATGGGTTTTTTTGGGGGGTTTTGGGGGTATTTCGGGGTTCAGCCCCCCTGACCCCCGTGCCCCCCCAGGGACTACGCTGCCATCGTGTTCTTCGCCAACAGCCGCTTCGAGACGGGCAAGAGGCGCCTGCAGTTCCTGAGCTTCGGGGACTTCGCTGCCTGCGCCCAGAGCATGATGGCCCACTGGAGCCAGGGGGCCCTGGGTGCGCCAAGAACCCAAAAATCCCAAAAATCCACCCCAAAAACCCCAGAGCATGATGGCCCACTGGAGCCAGGGGGCCCTGGGTGCGCCAAGAACCCAAAAATCCCAAAAATCCACCCCAAAAACCCCAGAGCATGATGGCCCACTGGAGCCAGGGGGCCCTGGGTGCGCCAAGAACCCAAAAATCCCAAAAATCCACCCCAAAAACCCCAGAGCATGATGGCTATTTAAAGGGGTGGGGGTTTGGGGGATGTTTTGGGGGCTCTTTATGGGTTTTTTGGGGGATGTTTAAGGGGTTTGGGGAGTTTTAGGCGACTTTAGGGGTTTGGGGGATATTTAAGGGTTTGGGGAATTTTGGGGTTTGGGGGTATTTTGTTGAGGTTTGGGGGATGTTTTGGGGGCTCTTTATGGGTTTTTTTGGGGGGTTTTGGGGGTATTTCGGGGTTCAGCCCCCCTGACCCCCGTGCCCCCCCAGGGACTACGCTGCCATCGTGTTCTTCGCCAACAGCCGCTTCGAGACGGGCAAGAGGCGCCTGCAGTTCCTGAGCTTCGGGGACTTCGCTGCCTGCGCCCAGAGCATGATGGCCCACTGGAGCCAGGGGGCCCTGGGTGCGCCAAGAACCCAAAAATAACCCAAAAATCCACCCCAAAAACCCCAGAGCATGATGGCCCACTGGAGCCAGGGGGCCCTGGGTGCGCCAAGAACCCAAAAATCCCAAAAATCCACCCCAAAAACCCCAGAGCATGATGGCCCACTGGAGCCAGGGGGCCCTGGGTGCGCCAAGAACCCAAAAATCCCAAAAATCCACCCCAAAAACCCCCAAAGCCCCCACAAAACCACCACGTGGCCCCGTGACCCCGCTGTCGGCACAACCCTGTGACCCCGCTGTCCCCGTGACCCTTGACCCCTGCCCCTGCCCCTGTCCCGCAGCGCCCGAGGCGGCCGAGCCCGACGGGGACCTGCCCAAGTCCTTCCTGCAGGACCTGAAGGAGCTGAAGGTGCTGGTGACAGACAAGGACCTGCTGGACCAGCACAAGAGGTGGCACGGGGACAGGGGACACGGGGACAGGGACAGGGGGACAGGGACAGGGGGACATGGGGACAGGGGACATGGGGACACTGGGACAGGGACACCGGGGTCATGGGGACAGGGGGACATGGGGACACTGGCAGGGACAGGGCGGTGCCCCCCCAAACCCCAATTCCCACCCAAAAACCCCAAAATCCCCCAAAACCCCCCAAAAACCCCAAAATCCCCCAAAACCCCAGTGCACCCCGGGACCCTGGCTGTGGGGGGAGGAGCTGGGGAGGGGGTCCCGGTTCTGGGGGTCCCCGGAGCCCCCCCAACGCGCCCCCTCCCCCAGCCTGGTGTGCTCGGCCCTGCGGGGGAAGATCTCGGTCTACAACGAGCTCGAGGCCAACTTCAAGGTGAGCCCCCCAAAATCGGGGTGTCCTGGGGGGGCGGGGGTCTCCCCCAAAACCCTGGGACCCCCCTAAAATCCCAGAGCATGGGGGAGGTTGGGGAGGGGGTTCCCAGCACCGGGGTCCCCCGGGGGGGGATTTAGGGATTGTGGGGAGGGGGTCCCCAAACTCCTGAGAGCCCCCCGAGATCCTGGGGGGCTCCTGGGATGGGTGTCCTGGTTCTGGGGGTCCCCAAACTCCTGAGACCCCCTTGAGATCCGGGGTCTTTCCTGGGGGGCTCTGGGGGTCCCCAAACTCCCGAGAGCCCCCCAAGATCCTGGCTCCCTTTCCTGGGGGGGCTCGGGGCGGGGGGTCCTGGTTCTGGGGGGGTTCCCCAACCAGGTTTGGGGGTCCCCAACGCCCCCGTGGCCCAGGCGCTGTCGCGGGCGCTGGTGAACGTGGGCGGGAAGCTGACGCACGCCCGCGACGTCCGCGACTTCTTCGTGGACCTGGTGGAGAAGGTGAGGGGCACTCCCGGGCTGGGGAACCCCCCCCCAGGTTTGGGGACCCCCCACCCAAAATCCGGGCGGGTTTTTTTGGGGGTTCCCCCCCTGACCCCCCCTTGGGCGGGATCCCCGAGCCCGGGGGTGCCCCCCCAGGTTTGGGGGTCCCCAACGCCCCCGTGGCCCAGGCGCTGTCGCGGGCGCTGGTGAACGTGGGCGGGAAGCTGACGCACGCCCGCGACGTCCGCGACTTCTTCGTGGACCTGGTGGAGAAGGTGAGGGGCACTCCCGGGCTGGGGAACCCCCCCCCAGGTTTGGGGACCCCCCACCCAAAATCCGGGCGGGTTTTTTTGGGGGTTCCCCCCCAGGTGATCGAGCCGTGCCGCTCGGACAAGTGGAGCCCGGGGGACCTGCGGCTCTTCCTGCAGCACTACACGGCAGCCCCCCGGAACCTGCCGGGCTTCAGGTGGGACCCCAAAACCGGGGAGCCCCTAAACCCCCCCTGAGCCACCCCCTGAGCCCCCCCGAACCCCCCCTGAACCCCCCGGAACCTCACCGGCTTGAGGTGCGACCCACAAACCGGGACTCCCCAAATCTTCCCCAGCAGCTTTTAGGGGAGCCCCAAAGCCCCACAAGAACGGGGCTGGGGGGGGTTGGGGATCCCCAGGGGGTCCCCAAAAGCGAGGGACCCCCAGAAGGGGCTGGGGGGGGTTTGGGATCACCGGGGGGGTCCCCAAAAGCGCGGGACCCCCACCAATCCCCCCCCCAGGCACCAGGCGCTCTGGGAGCGCTACATGGCCGCCATCAGCGCCTGCCTGCTGCGCATGTTCCACGACTGAGCCGCACCCCAAAAACGGCATGGACCCAAAACTGCACCCCAAAACCACACCCCAACAACGGGGGGGGCCCCAACGGCACCCCAACAACGGCATGGACCCAAAACTGCACCCCAAAATGGATACAGACCCGAGAACAGCACCCCAAAACTGGCATGGATCCAGAACAGCACCCCAACAATGGACACGGACCCCAAACTGCACCCCAAAACTGGCATGGAGCGAGAACGCCACCCCAAAAACGGGGACAACCCCAAAGCTGGGGACAGACCCAAGAACAGGCACAGCCCCAAAACTGCGCCCCAAAAACGGAGTCAGACCAAGAACAGCACCCCAAAACCAGCCCCAGGACCCCAAAAACCGCACCCCAAAACTGGGCACCCCAAAACCGGGCAGCCTCCAGAGAGGGGACCCCAAAAAAAGGAGCGGGGTCCCCCCAAACCCGACGGGAGCATCGAGACCCCCGAATTTGGGGGGTTTGGAGTTTGGGAACCCCGAGCTCCAGGACACCCCAAATGCAGAGGAGCCCCAAAAATACGGGATTTTGGAATGGGGGGACCCCAAAAAAGGGGTGACCCCAAAAAAGGGGGGTGCAATAAAGATGCGGAATCAGAGCTGAGTTGGGGGCGTTTTTTGGGGAGGGGGTCCCCCCAACTTTGGGGCGAGGGGCGTGGTTTGGGGTGGGAGGGGCGGAATTGGGGGNTGTTTTTTGGGGAGGTCCCGGGGGATTTTTTTGGGGGGGGACGTGTTTTGGGAGGTGTTTTTGGGGGGCTCGTGGGATGTTTTAGAGAGGTGATTTTGGGGCTGTTTTTGGGGGTCCCGGGGCTGTATTTGGGGCTGTTTTTGGGGGTATTTGGGGCTGTTTCTGGGGCTGTTTCTTGGGGTTCCCCTCTCACTGTCTCCCCGTCCCCCAGACGTGGACGAGTGCCCGGCGCCGGGCCCGGGGCTGTTTTTGGGAAGTGATTTTGGGGCTGGTTTTGGGGTATTTGGGGCTGTTTTTTGGGGTATTTTTGGGGCTGTTTTTTTGGGTTTTGGGGCTGTTCTTTGGGGTTTTGGGGGGTTATTTTCGGGGTTCCCCTCTCCCTGTCCCCCAGACGTGGACGAGTGCTCGGCGCCGGGCCCGGGGCTGTTTTTGGGAAGTGATTTTGGGGCTGTTTTTTGGGATATTTGGGGCTGGTTTTTGGGGTATTTTTGGGGCTGTTTTTTTGGGTTTTGGGGCTGTTCTTTGGGGTTTTTGGGGGTTATTTTCGGGGTTCCCCTCTCCCTGTCCCCCAGACGTGGACGAGTGCTCGGCGCCGGGCCCGGGGCTGTTTTTGGGGCTGTTTTTGGGGTTTTTGGGTCTGTTTTTTTGGGGTTCCCCTCTCACAGCCCCTCTCCCTGTCCCCCAGACGTGGACGAGTGCTCGGCGCCGGGCCCGCGGCCGTGCCGGGGCTCCATGAAGTGCCTGAACCATTTCGGGGGGTACCTGTGCCTGCCGCGCTCGGCCGCGCTGCTCAGCCCCGCCCCCGGCCCCGCCCCCTTGGCACAGGTAAATTCGAGTACTGGGTATGGCCCCCCGGAATGTTCGCGGGGTGTTTTTGGGGCATTTTTGTCTCTCTCTCTGCCCAGACGAGGACGAGGGCTGGGCGTGGGTTTCACCGGGTGCTCATGCAGTGCTTTTGGGGTGATTTTGAGCTGATTTTGGGGTAGTTTTGGTGTATTTTTGGGCTGATTTTAGGGTGATTTTGGGGTATTTTTGGTCTGATTTTGGGCTAATTTTGGGGTGATTTGAGGATATTTTGGGGCTGATTTTAGGGTGTTTTTGGGGTATTTTTGGTCTGATTTTGGGCTAATTTTGGGGTGATTTGAGGATATTTTGGGGCTGATTTTAGGGTGATTTTGGGGTATTTTTGGGGTGATTTTGGGCTAATTTTGGGGTGATTTGGGGATATTTTTGGGCTGATTTTAGGGTGATTTTGGGGTATTTTTGGGCTGGTTTTGGGCTGATTTTGGGGCGGACTCCGCTCTGTGTGCCCAGACGAGGACGAGTGCCAGTTCCGCTGGTGCCAGCACAGCTGCGCCAACTCCCCGGGCGCCTTCGCCTGCCGCTGCCACCCCGGCTTCAGCCTGGGCCCCGACGGCCGCTCCTGCCTCGGTCAGAGCCCCCCTCCCCGCCGCCGCCCGGGGCTCTGGGGGGTGACGCCCCCCGGGCCCCCCTGGCCAAGCCCCCCTGCCCCCAGACGTGGACGAGTGCTCCATGGGCGCGCGCTGCTCCCAGCTCTGCCTCAACACCTTTGGCTCCTTCCGCTGCCGCTGCCGGCCCGGCTTCGCGCTGGGCGCGGACGGCCGCCAGTGCCACGGTGAGCCCCGCCCACCGCCCCGCCCACCGCCGCGGGACACGCCCACAGGGGCGCGGGACACGCCCACTGCCCCGCGGGACACGCCCACCGCCTCGGGACACGCCCACCGCCCCGCGGGACACGCCCACTGCCCGCGGGACACGCCCACCCACGCGGGCCACGCCCACCGGGGTGCGGGCCACGCCCACTGCCCCGCGGGACACGCCCACCAGGAATGGGAACGCCCACCTGGGGTTAGACACACCCACTGAGGGCTGGGCACGCCCACTGTGGGGATGGCCACACCCCCATGCAAATAGCCCCGCCCATGGTGCGGTGGCACCGCCCCCAGAGTCGCGGCCACACCCCCTGCCCGCAGCCCCACCCCAACCCACGGCCCCGCCCTCTGCTGGGTGGGTGTGGCAGGGGCGTGGCCGGGGGGGGGGCCGAGGGACCCCCGGGGGCCCCCCCCATCTCTGGGGGTCCCCCTCGGGGCCTCAACACCTTTGGCTCCTTCCGCTGCCGCTGCCGGCCCGGCTTCGCGCTGGGCGCGGACGGCCGCCAGTGCCACGGTGAGCCCCGCCCACCGCCCCGCCCACCGCCCCGCGGGACACGCCCACAGGGGAGCGGGACACGCCCACAGGGGAGCGGGACACGCCCACCGCCCCGCGGGACACGCCCACTCCCCGCGGGCCACGCCCACCGGGGGTGCGGGCCACGCCCACCCACGCGGGCCACGCCCACTGCCCCGCGGGACACGCCCACCAGGAATGGGAACGCCCACCTGGGGTTAGACACACCCACTGAGGGCTGGGCACGCCCACTGTGGGGATGGCCACACCCCCATGCAAATAGCCCCGCCCATGGTGCGGTGGCACCGCCCCCAGAGTCGCGGCCACACCCCCTGCCCGCAGCCCCACCCCAACCCACGGCCCCGCCCTCTGCTGGGTGGGTGTGGCAGGGGCGTGGCCGGGGGAGGGGCCGAGGGACCCTCGGGTGTCCCCCCCATCTCTGGGGGTCCCTCTGGGGTCCCTCGGGGGTCTCTGCCCCTCTCGGGGGTCTCTGCCCCTCTCGGGGGTCTCTGCCCCTCTCGGGGGTCTCTCCCCTCATTCCCGGGGGTCTCACGGGTCTCTCTCCCCCCCCGGGGGTCCCAGACGTGGACGAGTGCCGGGCGGGGGTCCCGTGCCAGCACCGCTGCCAGAACCTCCCGGGGGGCTTCAGCTGCCTCTGCCCCCCCGGCTACGCCGAGGAGGGGGGGCTCTGCCGGGGTAGGGGTCTCGGGGGTATTTTGGGGGGTGCTCGGGGGTATTTGGGGAGGGGTCTCGGGGGTGTTTTGGGTCCATCCGGGGCACTGAGGCCGCTCCCCGCGTGGCCCCGCCCCCCGCAGGCGCTGACCAATCACAGCTCGCTGCTGGAGCTGGTGCGCCCCCTGGCGGGCCCGCGGCAGCTGCTGCTGGAGGTGGAGCTGCTCCGGCCGGGGCCACGCCCCCCGCCGCAGGCCACGCCCCCCGCCACCGAGGCCCCGCCCACCAGCCCCTGGGACCCGCCCCCTCCGACGGGGCGTGGCCTGGCCTTGCTCCGCCTCCACCTGGCGGTGGGAGCCCACCCATTCTAGGGGGGGACCCCAAAAACTCCACTGGGACCCCCAAAAACTCCACTGGGACCCAAAATTCCACTGGGACCCCAAAAACTCCACTGGGACCCCCAAAAACTCCACTGGGACCCCAAAAAACACTGGGATCCCCCAAATTCCCCCACCCGGGACCCCCAAAAACTCCCCTGGGACCCCAAAAACTCCCCTGGGACCCCAAAAATTCCACTGGGATGCCAAAAAAACCCCCTGGGACCCCCAAAAACTTCACTGGGACCCCTAAACCCCTCCTGGGACCCCCCAAATTCCACTGGCACTCCCAAAAACTCCACTGGGACCCCAAAACTCCCCCCGGGATGCCCCAAATTTCAATTTCCCCAAAGCACCCCCCCAAAACAACCCCCAGGACCCCACTGGGACCCCAAAAAACACTGGGATCCCCCAAATTCCCCCACCCGGGACCCCCAAAAACTCCCCTGGGACCCCAAAAACTCCCCTGGGACCCCAAAAACTCCACTGGGACCCCAAAAAACACTGGGATCCCCCAAATTCCCCCACCCGGGACCCCCAAAAACTCCCCTGGGACCCCAAAAACTCCCCTGGGACCCCAAAAACTCCACTGGGACCCCAAAAAACACTGGGATCCCCCAAATTCCCCCACCCGGGACCCCCAAAAACTCCCCTGGGACCCCAAAAACTCCCCTGGGACCCCAAAAACTCCACTGGGACCCCAAAAAACACTGGGATCCCCCAAATTCCCCCACCCGGGACCCCCAAAAACTCCCCTGGGACCCCAAAAACTCCCCTGGGACCCCAAAAACTCCACTGGGACCCCAAAAAACACTGGGATCCCCCAAATTCCCCCACCCGGGACCCCCAAAAACTCCCCTGGGACCCCAAAAACTCCCCTGGGACCCCAAAAACTCCACTGGGACCCCAAAAAACACTGGGATCCCCCAAATTCCCCCACCCGGGACCCCCAAAAACTCCCCTGGGACCCCAAAAACTCCCCTGGGACCCCAAAAACTCCACTGGGACCCCAAAAAACACTGGGATCCCCCAAATTCCCCCACCCGGGACCCCCAAAAACTCCCCTGGGACCCCAAAAACTCCCCTGGGACCCCAAAAACTCCACTGGGACCCCAAAAAACACTGGGATCCCCCAAATTCCCCCACCCGGGACCCCCAAAAACTCCCCTGGGACCCCAAAAACTCCCCTGGGACCCCAAAAATTCCACTGGGATGCCAAAAAAACCCCCTGGGACCCCCAAAAACTTCACTGGGACCCCTAAACCCCTCCTGGGACCCCCCAAATTCCACTGGCACTCCCAAAAACTCCACTGGGACCCCAAAACTCCCCCCGGGATGCCCCAAATTTCAATTTCCCCAAAGCACCCCCCCAAAACAACCCCCAGGACCCCCCAAAGAAACATCTGGGACCCCCAGTGTGGGGGCAAAGAACGAGTGTGTGCTGAGCTGGGAACTGGGGGGAACTGGGGGGGACTGGGGGGCACTGAGGGGGGATTGGAGCCCCCCAAGAACCACATGGACACTTCTTCCTCCCTCGCCACAAGGGGGCGCCCTTTATTAGCCCCGCCCCCCGTGGCCCCGCCCCCGGGGGGGCGTGGTCAGTTCCCCACCCGCACGTGGGGGTTGTTGAGCGGCTCGAGGGCGGGGTCGGCGTCGGCCACGCCCCTGGCCAGGCTGGCCAATAGCAGCAGGAGCAGCGCGAAGGCCGCGGCCCCGCCCAGGCACAGCGCCAGCAGGGGGCGCCGCGGGACCCCGCGCACGCGGCACCTGCGGGGGAGGGGTCAGGCAGGGGACCCCAAAGGGACCCCAAAGGGACCCCCAGGGAGACCCTCAAAGTGACCCCCAAAGGACCCCAGGGACCCCCAGAGTGACCCCCCAAAGGAACCCCAATTGACGTCCCCAATGTGATCCCAAGTGACCCCAAAGGGACCCTGCGGATGCCCCGAAGTGACCCCCAAAAGGACCCCAAAAGGGACCCCACAACACCTCCAAAGGAACCCCCAAAGGGACGCCAGGGACCCCCAAAGGGACCCTGTGACACCCCTCAAAGGGACCCCAAAAGGGACCCCAACTGATGCCCCCAACGTGACCCCAATGACCCCCAGAGGGACCCCGTGACACCTCCAAATGAGCCCCCAAAGGGACCCCCGAAGGACCCTGGGGACCCTCAGAGGAACCCCCCCAAAGCGACCCCAAAGGGACCCCATGACACCTCCAAGGGAAACCCCAAAGGGACCCCCAGAGACACCCCAGGTGCCCCCCGAGCCCCCAGCCCCACCTGAGCCGGGGGGGCAGCCATGCCAGCGGCCGCCGCCGGTATTTGTCCTCCGTGTCCCCTCTGTCCCCTCTGTCACGGGCCGGGGGGCTCCACACCTCGCGACCCCCCAGGGGCTTGCGGGGGGCGGAGCCTGGGGGGGGCAGAGGGACGCTGAGACCCCGCCCGGGCCCGGGGGACCCCCCCCAGCCCCCCGCAGCCCCCAGACTCACCGGCGTGCAGCGTCGGGGTCTCCCCGCCCCCCATGTGGCCCACGGCGTGGGGGGCGGGCGGGCTCGGGGGGGGCT